TGGTGGCTTTTGCTCTCCCACCTCCTTCAGATCAGGATATTATTTGTGAATCCTGTTGCCTGCAGTGAGTGATGAAAACAACACTCCCATACATGTATTATCACTGATTCCATTGTTAGTTCCATTGATTTCATTGGACGGCCACCAGGCTCCAAAACTGCAGGCTTTTCAGAAGGGCCTGTAAACATATTGATTTAATATTGGCTATTGTTCCTGTTTGTATTGCTGTTTCTATGTTATTTTTACTCTTTTTATTACTTTTAATATCACATTGGTTTCCATTATGTGTTTTATTATTGTACACCACCTTGGGACAGCTCCTGCCCTGAAAGGTGACCAAAGAATAGGTAATAATGTTGACGGTAATGTTTACTGTCAGGTAAGTGGATTTTGGATTACATCCTAAATGATTCGAGATTAAATTAGTATATTTTGGGGTAAGTAAAAGATTTTTCCCTGACCCTTCCTCTTCAAACCCACTACACTGAACTGATAGATATAGCCTATCATTGTAGAATGCTATGAAATAGTTTGGAAAATTCTGGCAGAAGGAAGGATTTTTTTTTATTTTGTTTTCAGAGGAAGATACAGTCCAAAATTCCTTTTTAAATTCCTTTGATTCCTTTATCAATTCAGAGCAAATACAATCTTTACCATCTCAAAGCGTTTCATTGACATTATTTTCAAAATACTCTAAGTTGCTAGTTCATAATATTTTTGTATGTATGGAGTTAATAGAAGCATTGTGTTACAATAAAAATAACTGACTTGTTTCAGTTGAAACCTTAAGCCTGTCGTCCTAGCATTGGCCACTGCCCATTGACCTGCTGGGTTGCAAAGAAGTGCATGTAAACTTGGATTAGAATGACACATTGACATAATGCATAGCGTTTCATAGCTGGATGGGTAACTATAGCTATGGGCAGTGCTTTTTTTGTAAAAAAAAAAAAATGTTGCTGGAACTCACGTCGCCCGTCTCAGCGCATGACCACACACACCAATCCCAAGCTGAGCAGTACCCTCACTATCTCACTATCAGATAGCAGATAACAGACACAAAAGCAGCCCTCAGGCATTATGTTAATGATGTTTGCTGCTGATCTGCTACTCCCGCCAGGCGATTCAAAATCACTTCGTAAAATCCATTGGAAAAAAAGGTGCCAGAACGCTGTTCCGGTGCGTTCTATGACAAAAAAAGCCCTGGCTATGGGTAACATAGCTAGCGTGTTTTGGAGGAGCTGTCTCTGGACCATTTCAAAAAACAGTCCAACATAGAACGCAATGCAATAATCCAAAGAAAAGATCACCTGACCACAGATAGCTAGGCTATCCCTGTTCAGATAGAAACCTATTAGTACACTGCCTTGCAAAAATGTTTTAACTTTTTTACATTTTCTTGTGTAACAGCCTGGAACTGAAGTTGATTTAGTTGGCACTATTATCACTTGATGTACACAAGATAATCAACACTGTGAAAATATCATTATTGTGGCACAAAAATTAAGTAAACAAAAAAAAAAAAATAGGCATTTGTTAGTTACAGTAAGTATTCACACTCTATCTTTCCTCAGGTCAATACCTGATAGAAACACCTCTGGCAGCAATTCCAGCTGTACGTCTTGCAGACTGAAATGTTTTTTCCTCTAGAATGACTCTGTATTTGACTTGATCTATCTTGTCCTCAGAATATGTGCCAAGAATAAAAATATGTGCCAAAATAAAAATATACCTTCATAATTATGAGTATCTTGAATCCAATTGATAACACTGCCAATTCCATCCTTTGCAATTCCAGTTTATAAAAGACCAAAGTGTGAATAATCCAAAGGGAGATGAATACTTCTTCAAGAAGACACTATAACAACCTAAGCTGATCAAAATGTTCTTGATGTCACTGAGCCTACTTGTGCCTCTAGTGGCAATGCTAAATACAAGACCACCTCCAATAATGGGCCTAATCTTTTACAGGGGATTACTCCCCTCTGGAACCAGTTAAATATCACTCATCTATCTTGTCTGGATTGAATTGCAGTTTATTGACTCTCAGGACCAGTCAGTACCAAGCCCAAACACTCATTCAGAGCGACCATTCCCTAACCTGAATTTTGAGAAAAAGCAGAAATACGACTGTGTGCCATCCACACCTACACCCTCAACCCACACCTCCAGATAACATCCCTTGGGGTTTTACATAGATGCTGAACAGCATGGAGGATAGAAAAGCTCACAGTGTGACCCCATAGAGTAGCTGCCAAGCCGTGGAGCAATAATCCCCCAGCACCACCTTCTAGAATTAGCTCCACTGAGTAACACTGCAAAGATGTGATTGTGGTGAAAAAGAACCCCCTTTTCCTAAGCGGCAGAAGCACCAGCCATACCAACAAGAAAATTCCCCAGAACATTCTGGAATCAATTGGAATCTAATTGAAATCAACCCATTAGCTTTCATGGGCAGACTATTTTAATAAATCTCTGAGCCTTGCAGAAGAGAAAGACCTCAAGAGGAAGTGATCTGTACACAACAGCACAAAAGTCTTAATTCTGCCACTTTCAGATCACTGTTCTCCAGCCCCACTGAGAAAACCAAATCAAGCCTCTGAAATGGCTCAGAACCATGTTCTAGGAGTCCTCAACACCAAATGTGAGACCACTTCCATCATTTCAGACACAGACCAAAAGTGGGCGGTACACTAACAGAATCCTTAATGAATCTTAAGCACTGACTACAAGATCAGCACACAGGTATCCTTGAGAATCCTACAGAACCACAGCAACCCCATTTCTCCAACCTTTAGTCAATGTCAGCTACACCAAGTAAGCTAGGTGGGAAAACTGGCAGAGTTTAACCCAGGCCTTAATGCACAGCAGGTTAGCCCTCTCAAACAAACAAATCATGGATGAGGAAAATTTATTTATTTACTGACCTAGCATTCAGCAGCACCATACCCAAGGGCAAGATGGTACGGCCGCCAGGAACCATCTGGTTGGAGGAAGAACTGGAAGAGGGGATAGTCATAAGGTGTCTACCCACCTTCTGTTCAATAATTCCCCAGTGCCTTACCTTCCCCTACCCATGACTACACTAAAGGGGCACCACTTCTCCCCATTCCAATTACTCGATCACTTTCCAAGGCACATGATAAAATACTGATAGGAAATTGGGAGTCCAGCCCTCAGTGCGGCAGCCAGCAAGGAGCAGGTCAGTTTGCAATTGTTCTGTTTTCCATACTGCAGCTGCTAGTTTCGGGTATGTATTGAACTTATCCAGCTATTAAGCACCCACCTCTGCTGCCATCTATGCTTTTCCTTAAGCAGCAAAACCTGCAAACAAAAATTTATTCTCCACCAAGAATGTTCCTTTTGCTAGGCCCACTCTCCACAGTGGTGTCAGAAACTTAAGAATACCAGAAAACTGCAAACTGTACTACATACAACTTCTTTCTAATGAGGATAATAGGTAAAAAGGGAATAGAATTTTTGGGGAAACTCTTTGAAATTAGAAGAAATTACAATGAATTTTAACTAAGTGCTAAAATTGTGACTGAGTAGAAAAGATAGTAATTGTTGATTTACAGCAATTTTTAAAGTATTTGACATTCTATGTAACGTTTAAGTTGTTGGTGTTACTTTCTTATGTTTATTTGTACTTATTCTTTTACTTCTGTTTAAACTTTACTGTTTTTTATATATAAAACCACACACACATACAAGCCACATCTCTTGCTACATAGAAGCAGTAAAAAAAAAAAAAAAGACTAGCCCAAGATTTGCACATGTTTTAAGGGTTTTACACAAATATCAGAGATCTGTACTTGCCTTAAGGAGATTTTACTGCCCAGGTGCTTTTGATAGCCTCTGTTTCAGTAGCTGCAGCTTCTCAAACAGCATGACAGGTTTTGGACCAGTCTGAGAAATTATGCAGTCTATGGCAAGCACTTGCCTGTCCCAAGGAGAAATAGTGGCTTGCAGCTGTAGAAGATGTGGCGGTTTCCCTCCCAGCAGCCCCATCCACATTGAGACAAAGCCATGAGGTTAATGCAGCAAGGATGTTGTTGTTGTTAGTCGCAAAGTCATGTCCGACCCATCGTGACCCCATGGACAACATTCCTCCAGGCCTTTCTCTCCTCCACCATCTCCCGGAATCCACTTAAGTCCACGCTGACTGCTTCAGTGACTCCATCTAGCCACCTCATCCTCTGCCGTCCCCTTCTTCTTTTGCCATCTACTGTTCCCAGCATTAGGGTCTCCTCCAGTGAGTCTTCCTTCTCATCAGGTGGCCAAAGTATTTGAGTTTCATCTTCAGTATCTGGCCTTCTAAAGAGCAGTCTAAGTCTCGTTATATCAACCACAAGGTGGCACCAGAAAGGTATAGCAAAGTTGGCTAGCCTCAGCAATTAATAGAAGGCTTAATTTTTGCTAAGAATGTAAGGGAAACAGCACAACTAAGCAAAACCCAAGCCCTTAAATGAAGTCTGGCGCATGTGACTTACATTAACACCTAGCCTTGCCTTCTGTGTAAGACACAGTAAACTTAAGAATGAATCTGTACCTGTTTTTGCCACATCTTCCAGACACATCAGGAACTAATGGTAAAGTCTGTACTTCATCCTGGATGGAGTTCCTGCTTAGAGTTACACTTCAACAATGTGCTATGGGGAAGTCACTGCTTCATTAAAAAGAGACTAACTTTACCACAATGTTTCTTGCAGCTTAAAGCACAGCCAGTGACTGCAGCTTCCCAACGTAAAGCACAGCCAGGATGGGCTTAAGTGTTGGAATGGGAGTGGGGAGGCCTGTGTTCAAGTACCTACTTGGTCCTGAAGCTTGATGGGTGACTTCAGATCTAGCACTGACACTAAGACTAACCAACCTTGCAGGGTTGTTGTGAGGATGAAAGAAGAAGAAGATTGTGTATGCCACCCTGTGCTCCTTGGAGGCATTTGTGACTGATCTGCTGATTTTGTTTTGACAGGAAATAAAATAAACCCCCAATGAAAACCCGGTACGGCTTTCATGGAAACAGCAGCAACTGCAGTGCTGAGAGTGGCATGAATGAAATTCTTTTTCCCTTATTGTACACTGTTATTTTCTTTGTGGGCATGATCATGAATGTACTAGCCATGGGAGTTTTTTTCCAGATCTCCAGCAAATCCAATTTTATTATCTTTCTGAAGAACACGGTTATTTCTGACATCCTCATGATCCTGACGTTTCCATTCAAGATTCTCAGCGATGCAAAACTTGTGTCCTGGGAACTGAGAGGATTTGTTTGCAAGGTGACTCAGGTCGTATTTTACTTCACCATGTACATCAGCATTATCTTCTTGGGCCTTATAACTATTGATCGCTATTTGAAAACCGTCAGACCCTTCAGATCATCCGGCACTGACAATGTACTGGCAGCAAAGATTCTGTCTGTACTGATTTGGATATTCATGTTTTCTCTGTCCTTTCCTAACATGATTCTGACAAACAAGAAGCCAACACGTGAGAATGTGAAGAAATGTGCTGATCTAAAATCTGATTTTGGGTTAATATGGCATGAAATCGTTAACTACATTTGCCAGTTTATCTTCTGGGTTAACTTTGCCATCATAGTTGTTTGCTACATACTCATAACACGAGAACTGTACAAATCCTATCAACGAACAAGACAGAAAGGAAACCCAAACAGAAAGACGGTGAATATGAAAGTTTTTGTCATTATTGGCGTGTTCTTCATTTGCTTTGTGCCTTTCCATTTTGCCAGAATTCCTTACACTTTAAGTCAAACAAGAGATGTTTTTGTGTGTTCAACTCAGAACACATTGTTTTATATAAAAGAGAGCACCTTATGGTTGACTTCCCTGAATGCATGCCTAGATCCATTTATATATTTTGCCCTCTGTAAATCCTTTAGAAAGTCTCTCCTAAACTCACTGCACAAATGTGCAGTTCAAAGAAGAGATCAAAACACAGAAACTACGGATGAGGAAACACCAATGTAGACCAACAGGATATCCACAGAGTATAGCCAAAATCATTTTGCAACCCCTTCATTTTTTTTAGCAATAAACTGTGATGTGGCTTCTTCCTGATTCTAGGAAACATACATAGTCTCTGAAGCTAACAACTAGCTGCTGACTAGGACTATTCTGCATTTTTTTGAAGCATGATGGCTACAAACACTGAACCAGATAGAGAAAAATTGAATGGGGTTGCAGTGCTGGTGGTGATTGTGATGAAGAGCTCTTCTCAAAAGCATGCAAAACAAAGAACTCCTCCAGGACACTTGGATATATTCTTTGCTAAGTACATAAAAAAGACAGAGAAAGTTGATAAGAACTGCAGTTATTGCAGTTTATATTCATAAAATATAAAGCATCATCTTCCAGCCAAAAAATTAGTAATGTCAGTACTATTGGCACATCTCGTTAGTGGCTTAGGATTAAGCTTCCAGGTTTGCTTGGATATCAGCTGCTGGAGTCAAGAAGTAGGAAGGGAGCAAGTCAAATTTGTCAACTGCACCTTTTACATGTTACATTTAAAACTGATGTCCTTGGAGAGCCTCTTGGTTCAAATGCACTGGGGAGTTTTTTAGCAATAGTATTCTGCTGCATCATTTTGAAGCCTTCCACATTTGAATTACTTGTGCTACCCACCCAAGTACTATTTCAATGTAAAAAGTCTCTTGAGAGCTTACTCTTTTGTGAGCATGCTAGAAAACATTGAGAAATTTTACTATAAATCATTCTGTCCTCTAAATTTCTGAAAATTGAGCATTGAAGTGTGATCCTAGGGACCCAACTACCACAATGATTCAAAAACAGAGAATAGTACAGAAGTCATTTCTGTTTTCTAAAATGTATCAACATGAACAATAGTTCCCTTCTTGTTACATATCTGTATAGTATTCAAGAGTTTGTAAACCAGCTAGAACTTGCAATTGTAACAGAAGTTCATTTTTAAAAGGATAATGCTTGAGCTTTATCAAAGCATTTAGGGACTAAAAGTTACTCTAACTTGTTTTTATTATAAAGGCGCAAGAGGCATGCTGTTCCATGAAAGAATTGTACAATAGCAAATATAATGTCTATAGAGGGAAGAAACCCCGTCCAGGCAACTTACTGACTCCTTCTCCTCCCCCAGGTCCCTCCCACCATCTATATGATGAGCTAGTAACTGTTTTCATGTTCCTTGTTGCCTGCTAATATAAAACAAGTACAGTCCATGGGCGGTATAAATTCAGCATGGGTGGTGCTGCTGCAACTCACAAAGTTTTGCATTACACTCGCAGGATGGTAAACAATCTCTTGTTAATTACAGTTATAAGAAAGTTGCTTTTAAAAACAAAAAGAATGGAACCAATATTGAGGAGCCATGAGAGAGAAGTAGCTTTGGTTGGTTGTTCATCTTCAGACTGAACTAACTTCAGGGCCTTTCATATATAGAAAACTGACTTCTGATGGCCTTTCAAATAACGAAATGTGTTCTGTAAAGCAGAATGCAAAGTGGAAGGGCCTTGATGTGGGTCCTAATACAGAGATGGGTTCATATGGAAGGAAACAGAATTATAGGCCCAACACCACACACATTCCAGTAGATGCTGCTCACTGAGTAGACAATAGTTATTGTGTAGTCCAATAGCTATTTCATGATATATTGTTTTGTTACATTATATTAAAGGCATACTTAAGAATTGTGTGGTCTCTTTCTTGACTATACAGTACATAAGATGTAGTTTGCAAGAAACATGTAAAGAATAAGGGCTGCACTGATTATTCTATTTTCAATGTTTACATGAGAAGTAGCATATAATCAATGCAGCTGAACAGATACCTGAAAAAAAATTCTCACCTTACCAAACACTTGTTTTGTCTCATTGCACTTCAGTGCTATTTTGTTCAGCCCATCTCAGTGCAAGTTGCCTTTTTAAAAATATCCTCACATACTATCTGCAAAGAGATCAAACCAGTCAATCTTAAAGGAAACCAACCCTGACTGCTCTTTAGAAGGCCAGATACTGAAGATGAACTCAAATACTTTGGCCACCTAATGAGAAGGAAGGACTCCCTGGAGAAGAGCCTGATGCTGAGAACGATTGACGGCAAAAGGAGAAGCAGAAGGCAGAGTTTGAGATGGCTGGATGGAGTCACTGGGGCACTGGGGGTGAGCTTGGGTGGACTTCGGGGGATGGTGGAGGACAGGGGAGCCTGGAGGAATCTCGTCCATGGGGTCGCGATGGGTCGGGCATGACTTTGTGACTAACAACAACAACACATACTATCAAGTAATCCCACTGGCTCTGGCAACCCACATGATTATGTTGACAATGTCACAACTACTCATAATTTCAGATATGATGTCACCTGCAAAATCATGTGGGTTGCCCAATAAAACTTGTGGGAAACTATGAAGCTGAAAACAGTTTGGGCAAAGGAAAGGGAGGGACACATCACTGAGACAAACAGTATTGCAACAATGTCAACATGGGTACAATTAGTGCACAAAATTACTGAAGGTGCTCTTCAGCATTCACAAAAACAAACATGAGGTAATTTCAAGTCAGCTCTACACAGACAAAGAATACACACTCATGGACAAGCACTTTACTGAGAAATGACACAATCACAACCTAGAGAAAATGGCCCAAACAAAATAAAAACAAGGCAAAGGCACTCAGTCTGGACCAAGTGACATTGCCAAATTGCTTTTATTCCAAATTGATCATATTCCTTCAAGTCAACACTGGTTAGCTGTTCATTAGACTTTGCTATTAGAGATGGAGGAGGAGGAGGAGGAGGAGGAGGAGGAGGAGGAGGTGCTGCTGCTAACAAAACAAGATACATGTAGCAAGCAGCTAGACGTTCAACATAAATAAGCATGCCCTAAGAGGCATGGGCAAGTAAGCAGTATTTTCACTTGGCACGGGTAATAAAATTAAGATAGCAACACATAAACCACTTGGGGGAAAGACTTCTATAAACAACTGAAAAAACCCATCTCCGCACACCACCCATGTTGAGTCAAATAGAAGAAGAACATCAGTATATCCTTCCAAGCCATAGACATTTATAGAGAAGGTGGTGTTCCTTCAGTGAAAATGTTGTTTTCTCCCCCTATGAAAGCAAGAACACAGCTCAGAGTTTTAGAGCACAATTCTGTGCTCATCTACTCAGAAATAAGTTCCCCTGTCTCAGTAGATCTTACTTCCAGGAACATTGGTATTGGATTGCACTTTGGTCTGGAGTAATTTGGAGATCACTGTAAGCAATTCAGAGCTGGCCATGCATTGTGAGAAACCTTGGTTCAAGAGAACTAGAAGAAACAGCAATATCTTCAAGATACTTTCCCACCTTAATACAAAGGTGATATTAAAACAAAAGTTTGCATCACAAACAATGTAAAGGTATTTTTAGTTATCAAATCATGATTTTGCTACTACACTGTTAGACTACAAATAGACCCTATACTCAATGCTACTCATAAAGTTGTTACGTATGAATGCATTTCAATTCTGGGTTACCCAATAACTCAACCAAACTTTTATCCTCATTTCTACTTCTTCGTTCTGATTTGAACTATTACTAATACTACCATATGAAAATGCCCAGAAATTGGCCAATGAAAGCAACAGTTTCCCCAATGTAGAATCCACTGTGTTTTGTGTTTTCTTACAAGAACACTGCAAATAGGATTTCATGGGAATAATGAACCAAAAAGAGGCTATTGACATTCTTCAAATAGCACTGCTGTAAAGACAATTATTTTTCTTGGAAGATGGTGGTGACTTTGCATTTATTTGGTCTTTTCTTCTTCCTTCAACTTTCCATAATGTTATTGTCTTCTCCAGGGCACCCTTAACACAGCATTTTTCCCTGAAGCTTGTATTTCTCTGCCTTTCTATACAATCTATTAACAAAGCCCAAGGTGGTGCTGTGGTATAACAGTAACTGTGTGGATTCGTGACAATACACAGTGCTTGAAATTAGCTCATTATCATCATTCCAAAAAAAAAAAGCCACAAAATGGCTGGGCAACTTAGGAGTCACTGTGGAAAAGGCCACTGGCCTTTCCACAGAGTAAGTTATCATGAATGCCATAAATGCCCTACAAGTGAATGGCAGTGAATGGGGTGGGAACAACATGGCCAATTTCCTTTTTGCTGAAGCTTTCCCAGACAGAGCATTGAAAGGCATGAGATCTGAAAGAGCAGAGTAACCAAAGCAAAAAGGAATATTTCTGCTTTTCTTTGGGTAGAACAAGGAGGGGGTTTTTGTTGCTCTCTAACTTCTGCTCTGAGAACTTCTGCAATAGGGAACAGACAAGATGCAGGCACAGCCACGGGCCATTCACTGCTTACTGCTAGTGGCTGGGCACCTCCTCCTTCTTGCTCTGCTCAGTGCCAGAGGAGCTGGACAACTGAGTCCAGTAGGCAAGGTCAGAAGAGCTTGCTTCCCCCAGTAGGAAAGGCTGAAAGGGCTCTCAAACAGGCAGGCTTGGGAGAGGGATGCATGCACATATGCACACACACAAGCGTGCACATGCACACGCACTGTCAAAGCAATGTATGCAAGCCAACCAGGGTTTTCACATGCCGGTATTGGCAGAGAGGTCCTGTAAACACAGGGCCATAGGAAGGGCAGGGTGGGCCTCTGACATTTGTCAGAGCTCTGATGAGGCATGTAGACATACAAAGCATAATATTAAATAGAATATTAGACTATACCCAATAAAATTACCAATAAAATAAATATTTGTTAAGAAAACCCAGTATTCAAATGGCCGTAACTTATATTGGGTGACTTTGTGACTGGCCCAAAGTCACCCAATTGGCTCCATGGCTGAGTGGTACTAGAACGCAGAACCCCAGAGCCCCAGTCCACTCATAACAACTCCACCACACTGGCTCCTTCTGTTGAAAATCTGTTCTAAATTTCATCTCGTCATTGCCTATTTTATAGTATTTTCATATTTTAATCATAGGACAGTCACAGCAAAAACCATGGTGAATAAAGTGCTCAACAATCAGAAACGTGACTATCTTCCTAGTGACTTGTGTCTGTGTGTTGGGTGTAAAGGAGCCCTAACCTATCAAAAATGAGGAACAACAACAAATATAAGATGCAAGCTTTCTTGCAAAACCAAGTTTCCCCACAGTTGGTACAGCTGCAAAAGTTTGCCTAGTACAGAAATAGCCGTCACATAAGCCGGAAAAGTAAGTTACTTTATTCATATGCTTCTTTTACAGTTTATTTTCATCCAGCTATTCAGAGAAATGTTTGATTTAGCAAAAAACAAAATAAAAACCCAACCTTATATGATTTACTATTGATACAAGAACTGTGTTTATATACACAAGTCATTCCTATTACACTGGTTAGCTTGAGTTCTAAACTTATCTGCTGTGATACTTTTGGTTTAACAGGACTATGATCAGCACAAAGAATTAAAATATTTGATATAAATTGATGCTTCAAGAAAAAACAACTCTGCTTATATTTATTGTTCCATTTTTATCCTGCTGTTTCTCCATGAAGCTCAGACTGACTTACATGTTTTCCTTCCAGCCTTGTAATTTCCACAAGAGACCCATTGGGAAGATTAAGCTTAAGGGAATGAGTGTACATCTGACCATCCAGTAAACTTTCTGAACAAGTAGAGATTTGAGTTTGGGTCTCCCTATTCCCTTCATCCAGCACACCACTACTCTACTAAACATACCATCATCCAAGATATTTCCTGACTGCAATAGCAGCCTAAAAGTGCTGCAAATAGAATCACACATTTCCACATTCTACAGAGATCTGGGTGAGGTAAAAATTAGAATCTAGTGGTTAGATCCGAACTAGATGCATGTTTACCCAGCAACACAGCAGCTTTACCTATGTAGTGACATGCATTTTACAACATTGTTTTCTCTGAAAAATCTGAAGAATCGTGGATAACTGAAAAAGTTGTTTCCAGTATTTAAAGACTAATTAGCCCACTAAAAGATATTTTCTTAGATACCTCAGGTATAATCCTGTAGGGGTGGCCATAACTCCCTATCCATGGGAATTCCACGGAGAGTGGGAGAAGTGTGCAAGTGATGGTCACCTCCATGCTCTTCTTATCCTACAACTCAGATGGACAGTTTTCAGAGAAGTATGAGAGGAGGCTGAGGTCCTATTCAGATAGATGGTGCCTCGACGGCTCCATTCCACTCCACTCTCTATAGCCCAGAAGGTTCATTAAACCCCGTGTCTGTGGTTGCTTTTGTAACCTTGGAACTGCAGGGAATTTTCTGCACCGACAGTAGCAGGAGGAGGAGAACACTCTGAGCTTGATGTCCCAGCCAATGTCAAAGCTGAGACTAAAAAAAAATCCTATGGCCATCTATATACTGTTTAGCAGCCATAGGATTGCACTGTTACCTGATCATTATATATATGTGGGGGGTTGTGTATTAAAATTATGAAAATTTAACATTGCACAAAATATTTCTTCCTCAGTCTCTCTTCAAAATAATGAATGGAAATATCAGCATCTCTAATGGGACAACATCCGTCTCGCAACAATGTCACCGAGACACGAGGATAGCACATGTGGTGTTCCCCATCTTGTACAGCATTCTTTTCCTGGCTGGGATTCTACTGAACATTCTGGCTCTTTGGGCTTTTTTCCAAATACAAAACACATCAAGCTTCATTGTGTATCTAAAGAACACTTTGGTTTCTGATCTCATAATGACACTTATGGTGCCTTTGAAGATTCTAACAGATTCAGATCTGGGACTGTGGCAACTTAGAGCTTTTGTTTGCCGTTTTTCAGCTGTAATATTTTATGAGACCATGTACATAAGCATCGTGCTGCTCGGACTTATTTCTTTAGACAGGTTTCTCAAGATCATTCGGCCATTTGGGAAATTTTGGTTGCATAATGTCACTTCAGCAAAAATTATGTCAGCATTTGTCTGGTTCTTCTTTTTTGGCCTCTCCTTGCCAAATATGATATTGTCAAACCGTGAAGCTACACCTCTTTCTGTAAGGAAGTGTGCCTCGTTGAAAAACCACTTGGGACTGAAATGGCATGAAGCTGTCAACTACATTTGCCAGGTTGTCTTCTGGACTGTGCTGATCTTAATTCTCCTCTTCTATACGATTATTGCTAAAAAGATCTATGACTCTTACAAAAAAAGTAAGACAAAAGTGTGTCAAATTAAGCAGAGAGCCAAGAGCAAAGTATTTATAGTTGTGGCTGTTTTTTTCATCTGCTTTGTACCTTTTCATTTTGCCCGAGTACCTTACACTCTTAGCCAGACTGGAAAAAGTATTGACTGCAACAAACAGAACCAATTATTCATAGCGAAAGAAAGCACTCTTTGGTTAGCAACTGCAAATATATGTATGGACCCTCTGATATACATATTCTTGTGCAGACAGTTTGTAGAAAAAGCTTTCTGCATTAAACTACATAGATCTAAGTCTGCAATTCAAGAAAATCAAACTATTGCACTGGACACTGGAATATCTACATAGATTTTTGTGTTGAGCATTTGTTTGCTTTTTAATTCTGAGATTTGCATGACTATTAGATATATTTTAATTTCAATGGACTTTTGATCAATGAAGTTCAGTTCTGAATTACTGTCATTTTAGATGTGGTAATGAGTCATCTAAATTTCACTTCTCAATTTCTAGTCACTTTAATTGGTTATCTTCTGTGAAGATGGCATTGGTTTTCCTAAAAGATAGATGTTAAGAGACTTGAAAACTGATTCACAACCTGTGACAGATTCAGCATTTCAGATTAGCATTCAGCCATTATTTCAGCCCTCTTATCTGAGCTATTTCTTTCACCTTTTCTTATAGGAAAAACAGTATATACCTGATCATTCTGTATTGGTACTACAGATGTATATTATTTTTCATTATTTTTACTGGCTGTAACTTTTCTTTCTTCCCCTTGTAAGGAATCTGAGGTGGCTTACAAGGTTTGCCACCTCTTCATTTTATCCTCATAACAACAACCCTGTGAAGTGGGTTAGGCTGAGAGCTGGTCATGTCTAAGTGGAGACTAGAACTCAGATCTCCTGCATCCCACTCCAACACTCCACTGGTTTGGCCAGCTCTGATGGGACTGTCCACATGCCTGGAAAAGAATACAGATTGAAGCCAGTAACACTCATTTTCCAATGGACTGGCATTGTTCAGACTGACAGCAATAACCAGTTCCTTCGCAGAGGCTCACTTGAGATCTCCACTATCAGCAGCTTGTGCACAAGAACATCTGTGTATCAGGGTTCTGATGTGTATTTGCATTTCAGATTGTGGGGGTGGGGGTACAATTTTTGGTATTGTATTCAACTTCTCCAGACAGTCTTATGGTTCTTGTCACCAGGAGTTCCAAGAATTTATTTGCTTTGTTCAATGCTCTGGCACTTTCAATGAATGAACTGTTTAATAGTCATCCATTGCACCTGCCTGTTTGCAATAAAAATGAAAGATCCATAGTGGAAGAGTTCCAGTTTCCATCTGCTTCAACATCATCTCCAACATCTGTAGCACCAGTAAAGCTACATTATCTACACACACAGCAATCATTTATGACATTCCTATTACCTTTCTTGGTTGTGAAAAAGTAACAAATTACAACTACAGAGAGAATTTCCATGCTCTGAAAAAGCTTAGTAGACTCCACAGTAATAATCAAGACAGGAAGAGGTACTTAGCACTCTATCCATATGGATCTGATCAGTTAGATTAAAACATGTTCAGACCTGCTGTGCTGAAAGAGGAGCCCTCAGAACTGTAGCTCTGAGAAAGGACATTCAACAGATGTTACTTCCCACTACCGTTTCCTATAGTGACAAGCAATGTTTCGTTTTATCTCTTTGCCTCCTCTATGAAACATGAACTTGAATCAGGGCAATGAAAATTCAAACCAAAACTATGCCCACAACATATGTCATGAATAGCATGTTATTTTGAAAACTTGCAACTTTTAATACAACATAATGGTCCAATGTCATGCAGGTGTTCCCGTTTTATATCATTCCAGTCTATATTAGAAAGACAATCCAGTTTTGCTGGTTAATCCTTTCACATTTGAAGGAGATTGTGCCTGTTGTGAATGACATTTTCTGTACTGAAATATTTGCAGTACATCCCATAGGATTAATGCACACACAACTAGTTTGCATGTATACAGGAGGCAGAAAGCCCCTGTTTACAATATGTGAATGTGAAAACATTAATTCACGCAAACATGTGAGTTAAATTGCATTCACACATAGAAAGAACAGGAAATCATTATGACTTCCATGTAGGAAGTTTGTTTTGCGCTTTATGTACTTATTTCTTGACATGTAAAATGGTGACTGGGAGGAACATTTTGAAATAAGATAAACAAACAAAGGGTTTTCTTCTATAGAGTAAGGATGGATTAATCTGTTGGTTTTGCTGTCTCCCACAATATTATTTCTTTATTAAATTATTTCTATACCAACTTTTAGCTAATGCCCATCAGGATCATATACAAAATGTAATTTAAAATCAGTTTTAATAATACACTTAAGGAGAGAGCAACAAAACATATGAAAGAAAGACCAACAATCAATTCTTTGCTATCAGTCATTGAATAATGAGTAAAATGAGTAAAAGTGTATTCACTGCTTTTTTCCTGTATTCACTCCTGTTTCTGAAGAAATGTGGAGAATTTTGGTGAGATTTTATTAAACAATGGACCAAACAAAAGTTGCCTGAAGGCAAAGAGCAGGAATGCAAGTAAGTGCAATCCACATGTAGAACCACAAGGCAGTTCAAGGGATAAGCCAGCAGGGATCAAATATACAGACGAAGGCAAATCCAAGCACAGCATCACAAGGCAATCTAATGTCCAATTCAAAGGAGGGCAACACCAATCAGAGGCAAAGCAAGCAAGGTCCAGTGGGGTTAGACAGATGTTTCAGCAATTCTCCCTTCCTAGGATTGTGGTTTTTAAGTCTGAGCTCCTACAGCCCACCCAAAGCTCACCTGCAATTGACAAGTGTCCTGGCAGACACCTTACTCATGAAGAATTATTCCCTAGAAGGCCTTTGGAGTTCCCCGCTGTTAGCAGTTTCTCCATCTGTCACTGTTCTAGGCTGCATCGTTAAGGGCTGGTGCTCTCAGCGGCTAAGGTTGGCTCAGCTGAAGCAAAGCTCCCTGGCACTTGAGGAGGCAGAACTGGTGCCCATTTCTACAAGAGCCCAGTGCTATTTTGGACAGTCCCATATTCCTTTGAAGTGCTCTGTTCCCTGTGCACATTTGGCTGCAAGTGGTCTTTCTCTGACAAAGCATGCCACAGGAGAATCCACACACACACACACACATTCAGGCATACCAACAGCAATCTCAGTTTGCAAAAGTACAAATAATACTTAGGGAAAACAACCATAAGGGAACAACCTCCATTACAGCGGAAGGAAAACCCACAACCCAGTGAGAGCTGAGTATGCTTTCAGTGGGCATAGAATGTTGACTAATGTTTGGAGAGAAAAGAGGAACATGGGGGCTGCATAGAATGGTGTAGCTAGAAACCTGACGACAAGCACTCTCTCCAGGAATGTTCTGTTGCACAGCCTATGTGAGTTCTCATTATAGAAGACAGTTGCATCACCGTTCATATCCTAAAATAATATTCATTTTGGAACATGGAGAAAAATCAGCCTATGAAATGCTCTTATTTGACCTCCCTCCAAGCAAAAATAAAAACTCTACCAAATTGTAAGTTGAAATGGGTTTCATACAGTTTGTTATTCTTATTTCAACAGTCAAAAGCTGTTGAAATAAGCGAGATGAACCAAAAGCGAGATGAACAAGTGGGGCCAGGATAAAAGCAAGCCAGAACTTTTCCCTGGAAGCAAAAATGGCAAAACTGGAGTTGTTATACTTTGGCACATCATGAAAAGGCAAGAGAAAACATAATGCTAGGAATGTCTTTCTTAAACTCAACAGCTTTGAGTTTGAAAGAGCAGAACAGGATTGTGAAGGACAGGGCATTCTGGAGGGCATTCATTCATAGGGTTGGCACAAGTCAGAGACAACTTGACAGCACGTACCAACCAGTTAACCAAGACTGGCATGGTTCAAGAAATACTGGTGGTTTGGCAAGCCTCTCCAAGACATTGTCAACCTCTTAAGCCAACATAAATTGGAAGCCAGTCTTAATAACTGGATCTGGCACTGCTCTGGAAAGCTTCACAAGAGCTGCAGCAATAGTGAAATCAAGGTAAGAGCAAATATGAGCAACTCTGTCCCCCAGATATCAGCAAACCTGCCACAGCAGGTCCCAGTGCATCATTTTGCAATGATAAAAAGCTTTGATGGACAGCTACCCAAAGATGCAAAGAAGGCAGGGAAGTAAGATTGCTTCATCAACCTTGTTACTACAAAATTGTCACTTGCTTATATCCAACCCATAATAGTTATGACACTCAGGCCATTTATTCAATAAGAAAATAGCTAGTGTCTCACTTTACTTTAATACTAGTCATACTTTGAGGCATATTCTGGCTGAATGGCAGAATAGAGAAATGGAACTAAAAGTCATGTAGAAAACTTCCATCTGCACAAAAGGCTGTCATGTGAAACCCTTGCGAATCTGGAAAGGACTTCCCTGTCTTGTTCTCTATTCAGAGGTTTAGCCTTATTATGCTTCATGCTTCACCATTTTTAGAAACACACAAACATACATGTATACACAAGCTCTGGACAGCACCTCCAGGACCCTTTTTCCCTTGAAACTTCAGTGCCTGGTGATCCTCAGATTATACCACAGCAGTGCACATCAATGGATTCAAATTACAAAACACAGAAGCTTGACTAAACTTAAGCACTTTATGAACTATTTAACAGTGGATCAGACTGCCTTAGTTGATCGTAGACTCTCTTTTCTTAGAGATTTTCATGCAAAGGCCTGAAGATCACCCAGAAGGGATGTTATACTGGCAGATTGCCTGTATATGTGTTGGGGCTGGAGGAGATTGGTCAAGGTAACTTTGGTGTCCCTCCAGTTTTATTATTATGATTAATGTTATATGTGCTTTATATTCCACAAATTGTTTCTGCATGAACTATATAGCATTATTACACAGTGGGGATGCACAAACGAATTACGGCACCTGAGTTCTTTCTTACTGTCATACCACTGTTAGCCAGGAAAACCTTTATTGCAGAAATTCCTAATAAGAATGCCCCAGAAGTACTCATGAAGTTATCTGCGCTTGCTATAGGAGCAACCTTTAAGACTTCTTCACACCAAACAAATGGGGAAAAAAACACACAGAGGGAGGATTTAGGCCATGTTATTCCCTGCACATGCTAAATAAAAAGGTTATTGGCTCCTGCTTGACCCAGAGTGCCTTGGAAGTAGAGCGGTGTTGCAGTGGAGAAGATGCCTGCCTCCTCTTTCCTGCAGGGATTACACATCTCCATCATGTTGCTGCCAGGTAAAACAGATACATCCAATACATTGTGGGAATTTATTACAGCTATAAAATGTTCCATGTTTTTTGTGATAAAATTAAGTAGCAAAACTAATTCTGTCCATCTGTTATTCAAGACTTTGCTGATAACGCAGACTTTTTTTTATAATTCTAGTGTGGTACAATGACTCAAGTTCTAAACCAGGAACTCTCTCTGGGTGGCTTCAGCTAAGAATAGTAAGTGCTTACTTTATACAAGCAGGATTTTTGGGAAGATGAATAAGGCAGCTTTAAAAAATGGGCTATGGATGCTAAATATGCAATGTTAACACCTTTATTATCAACACAGAGATTATCCAGCATTGAAACTTACCCACCCTCAGAATCAGAAGATGCTGTAAACAAAACACATATGCCATGATCTGGAAATGAAAGTTATAGAAATGACGAGTGCTGTTGCAACAAAAACAGAACTCGAAAGA